TATATATATATATATATATATATATATATATTATCTATATTATTATATTAATCATCAAGAATAAAGAAAATAAGAGGTTATTTATACGATATATTTCAATTAATATTAACGTGCAAATGTGAATACAAAAGCTACTATAGATTATTCATTGTATATGTATGAGGGATTATCTTTTCTAGTTTATTATTTTGCATGTTACGTAATATATGTATGTAAAGCTGAGAGTATGCAGAACAAGAATGCGAATATAACAAATCTGTACAGGAAATCACTTATAGCCAAGATATAGGTATATATAAAAAAAAAGCGCTGTCATGATTTCGTATTTGACGGTAGGTTTTTTTTTTTAAGTTGTTAAGTGGTACAGGTAAAAAGAAAAAACAGCGTTATGTATACTATTAATATATCCCTAAAAGGGATATCGTATATTATAATCTTCTAGTAAGTTAAGATAATCTTAAGATTTAATTAATAACTAAAATGAAAACAAAAAATGTAATGGTAGTTTTATTGCGAAACCTCACCTCCTTTCCATGCATGAGCAAGATCTGCTCAAAAACAATCGAACTTCTAGATGCGAATTTTGCCTACAGTTAACTTGTTATTACGTTTTTTTTCACACAATTACTCTTCTCGTTCGCAATACTACGCATCCTACAAACCTTTCAGACCGTTTGCTGCTTCTTATCCCGGAAACGTCGAATTAGGCACAGGCGCAAACAAATAAAAATAATGCAGAGCTACGGTGCGTTCTTTATTGAAACTTACGAAACTCGTAATAAAGTCTTGATAAATTCAGACACCGTGTTGTTTATTGAAACGATGAAACTCCTTTAATCTCATAGCCTGCATGCGGATGAATCCAGTAGCGTCCGCAGGCTCGAAATCACCCTGAACGTCCATCGAGACGAGAGTCTGGTTGTACAACGAGATCTCGCTCGATCTGGCGATCGCCATAGCTGCAAGGGAAAAACTCTATCTTTTATCGGTTATAAATTGAAAAAAAATAATCAGTTACATTGGACTTAAGTAACCGATGATGAAAATTTTTTGGTTTCCAATTAAACCTTGCACAAATCTACTAACCCTTTCCCTTGTACAGTTGCAACCTTACTGTACCGTTCACGTATCTCTGCGAATGCAGGATGCATTCTCGTACGAAGTCGCATTCAGGCGAAAACCAGAAACCTATAAAAAGTTTTTATAAGAAATTCTATCCAATTTGTTTAGAAATATTCTTCACTTTTTTACATATTACATATTTGTAATTTTACATATTACATATTTTTGAATACCGTTATAAACGTAATCCGACATCTTATCCGTCAGGTATGACTTGACTCGCAGCACTTCGCGATCCAGCGTGAATACTTCCAAGTCTCGATGCGCAATCTCCAAAATGTTGACGCCCGGCGACTCGTAAATTCCTCGAGACTAAAGTAAATTATTTCAGTAATTATTATTACTACGATTTATTTCATAAGAAAATAAGTTTCGTAAAAAATATACTTTTAGTCCAATAAATCGATTTTCTACGATGTCTATCCGCCCGATACCGTGCGCACCTCCGATCTCATTGAGATATTCAATCATCGCAAGAGGAACGTTGAATATTTTCCCATCTTTTAGCCTCTTCACGGTAATCGGGCGTCCTTCCTTAAAACTAATTTCGATTTCTTCCGCTTCCAAGACGGAATCTGTCGGATCCGTGGTCATTTTGTACAGTTCTTTCGGTGCTGGAACGGCAGGATTTTCTAATATCCCGGATTCGTAACTACAAAATTGAAGATTAATTAATATATTTTTTTTTAACATTCTGCACGGAAAGAACAGTTTTACTGAAATATAAATCTAAAAATTTGACCAGGTATAAATCTGAAAATAATTTAGTTAAAATAATGAATAAACATTCTGATGATTATATTGCACGAATTTTTTATATTCTGGTAGCCAATTTGAACATCCTATAATATCTTCTTATAATAACATCTTATGAATAAAAATAATTTTGATGACGCAACAAAATTATTTTTGGATTTTTGGACTGATCAAATTTTTCGGTACTTTAGCAAAATTACTCTTTTCATATGCATATAAGAGCACGCTTGTCACACCTGATATGCACGAGATTAGCATCAGTGCTCCATGGCTCTTTCGGCGTTGCTGAGATTGGGATACCATTTTGTTGTGCATATTCCAACAAATCCGATCTTCCTTGGAATCTCGTGTAAAATTCAACTTCCCTCCATGGAGCTAAAATCTTTATAAACCTCTTTTATAATATCTTTTATGTCGTAATTAAATAACACATCTGATATGATTGCCAGATTATAGCATTGCTTTGCTTCTAAGATATATCAATTACATTTTTGTGCTTCTGAAAAATAGCGTGGAATCTTTACATGAAAAACAATAAGAATCTAAAAGACAAATTTTTCCTACTCTTATTTCTTAATCTCTTAATGTTCATCAGATTTTTTTTATTGTTTGCAAAATAATCATTTACCTCTAAGTTTACTGATAAACACAACTATAGTATAACATTATATCATTATATATTAATTATAATTTTCTATTCAACGATTATGTAACTGTTACATGTGTTACATTACACTTATATCGTTAAATAGAAAATTATAATAAATACTAATATTGTGCCATTGTTAGCTGGTTGTTTATTGAAGATTTAAAATAGACATAAAGTACCGTGATTTCAGGGCATAGATTGTAACAGCTCAACTCAAAGCGAACTTGATCATTTCCTTTTCCAGTTGCTCCATGCGCGATAACACCGGCACCTTCAGCCTTTGCGGTTTTTATTAAGCCCTGGCTGATGCACGGCCGTGCTATAGAAGTACCCAGAAGATATCTTCCCTCATATAACAAGCCACAAGCCACAGCGGGCCATACGTAGGAAGTTACGAAAACTTCTTTGACATCATCTATCACGACCTAATTGAATTTTTTGTTCGTTTATTATAATGTTTAGAAATAACAAAATTCACTATATGCTTCTAAATTCCCTTTTTATAAAACGTTTCAAAATAAAGATTTTTTTTTACCTTGACGGCTCCGATTTTAAGCGCTTTAGCTTTAATTGCATTAAAATCCTCCTTTTGCCCAATGTTCGCCTGAATAATTTCAAATTTTTATACTTCAGAAATGATTAACATAGTTACAGAAATTCTTACCACATAAGCGATAACTTGATATCCTCTTTCTTTCAACCAAAATAATATGCAAGAAGTATCTAAACCACCGCTATACGCTAGAATTACTTTTTGTTTAGTATCTGACATCCTTTACTTTCACTGCTTCAAGCAAAAATTAAGGAATGAATTAAGAGAATAGAACAGCTGGCAATGATATTCAGTACCAGAGTCTGCCACGTCGACTTTAAACGGACTTTAGTTTTGTTGACCTTAAATTTGATAACCCCGGAACCGCGCTCTAATTGGTCAAGTTATCAAAATATTTTTAATTAAGATATCCATCTAAATCAAAGAGATATTCTTTTCTAATGTATTTATTATATTTTATTCTTTAAATCTTTTATTTTTAATTTTTGTGTAGATGTGGCATAGATAATTAAAAGAAGACTCAAGAATAGAGCGCATCGTAGGCCTTTATGAGTAGAACATTTCTGCTCAGACTATAATCTACATACATACATATATAACAGGATATACTTAACTATAAATAACATTTAACTTTGTAATAATCTCTCCACTAGTAGATCGCAACATTGACATTATATTAAATAATTATTACCATCATCTTATTCGTCGATAGGTGCAAGCTTCTGATCGAGAGAAAACGCTTCACAATCATAGAACGAATTGCGAAAGATCTTGCGATACACATACATTTACATTGATATATTATAATTGCATCTGTATTACATTCAACGGAAGTAAATAGTTACTAATCGAATTTGTCAGAGAGCATTATATATCGTGAATATGTTATATACTTATGAATTACATTAAATGTAGCATCTGCATTGGCAATTTGTTAATTGAAGAGTGTTTTGCTGAAACTACAGATAAATAAATTAATAAAGGAAGAACAATATACATCTGCCGGACAATATACATCTAGCGGTTTTATTTTACATTCAATATCATTAATAAGTAAATTCAATAATATTGAATAAATAACTTTGTATCGCTGTTACATTGATAATAGAGTTGAAGAGAATAAAGTGAATTACGATGAAATTTGATGTCTATCTGTTTTTAGAACAGATATGTTTGGTGAACAAAGACAATTGTATATTTAAAATGTCAATTCGAATACAGTAAGTTTCAACGAGAGAAAGATAACAAAATATTAATAACAAAAAATATACAGGAATATTACGATCCTTCTCTACAATACATTTAGATCTTCTTCAAATTTCCTTCTTTATTATCGACAAAGAACTTTATAACGCGCATGAATATATCTCTAGGGCTTCACTAGAGGCTCGATTACCTCGATATATGTAATACCACCAAAAGGCTCAATACTATTATGCAGCTTCGTGCAATTTACATCAGTATTGCCAAAGTATTTCGTACGATCTCCGATGATTAATGTATTCGCGCAGGCACTTGATAACTGGGTCTGATCAAGACTCTTCGTGCTCGATTAATACACGAATACTTTCATTGTTATACAGCTGGCAACTATATTACGGGATACTCGCTTGACATTTCTGCCCAGAACGAGGCGCTCTCACTTAAAGAATTGACTTTGTATTCGTTATTTATTCTAATTTCACATTCGAGATCATTTATGGCTTCATAACTGGTAGTACTGATGGAATTTGAAGCTAATGGCAAAATAGGAGTTCGGGAATGTTATCTCTTCTATTAGTTATGTAATAATTTAGATGTGCAGTTTACTCAAGTCGCTCAGGAATGATTTCGGTGTAATTATATGAGATGAACCTACAATACACAAATTCATGATAAAAAATAATAAGTCTTTAATTGTATTTTAATTAAAAATTCAAATAGAAGTTGAATATTGAGATTGCTTACCAATTATAACTTCCCAATTTTTTAATGCATTTGTAACTTCATATGCACATCGTATTTCAGAAAAGCATACTCCACCAACTACGAAGACGATCAAGCGAGGAACATTTTTGATGGTTTGTTGACCTTTATCTTTGTGCCAGTGTCCATATCGTGCACTACAAAATCATTTACTATTTTTAGAAGCAAAATGACAACAAATTTATGCAAAGAAAAGTTATTATTACTATATACCTAGTTGGCGCATGATATCCTGAACTGGCTGTACGTCCAGCAAGGAATGGAAAATGTTTGGAATCAAGTTTATCCTCGATAGAATCTTCCATAATATCCTTGATTACTGGAGTCCAACGGCTCATTTGGTAAGTTTGCTCTGTAATTCTTTCTTTACGTGGTACTGTGTATAACTTTTTGCGATTACTCTGTAGAGATAAAACAGTGTATGTTGCCAATAATAAAATTAAATTACAGCTTAAATATTACCAAAAAGCTTTTTGATGTATAAAGTATAATTTATAAACATTTAACTTACATCTACAACAACATTAATGCCAAGATTTGCCATATTGACAATAGTTTGTTTATCGTCAACAGATATTTGGGCGTGATGAACCAAACGATTAAGATTCTCATCTGTGATGCCGTTTTTGCTGATAACATATAAAGCTATAATGCGTAATTTATCTAAATGATTTACAGTCTGGTCAAGTAAAATTGGTGTGATATTCCTCATGTGATCTTTGATACGTTCGCCTTCAGCATCAGTACCCATAGCTAAGTCCTAGAATACACAATCACAAGTATAAGTAATTAAAAAATACTTCTTCCCAATTGGATTTTTGGATAATGATTATGGCATTACATACTTGCTCCACTTTACAAAGTTTATCTACATTTCCTTGATAACGCTTCATGCAATCTTCGGCTAATTGTAAATGCGTGGCATATTTGCTCAGTTCTTTTTGATATTGCGGCATCTTTTTGATCATCTGCGACAAATCTCGCATACTCTGCTTATCACCTTGTGGCATTCTTTTTGATTCTGTAAACTTTTTCAAATTTTTAGTCACGTTCCTGAAAAATATGTTTTACCGTTACAATATTTTTCATGATTATTAATCTTTGATTATTAATCTCGCAAAATTTTAAATTTATACGTACTGAGACACTACGGCAATATGCTGATGCCTAAGTTCTACCCATAAATCATCATTTTCATCCAACAATACTTCTTTTTCTTGACCTGCTGTTGCCTCAAACCTGTTTAATATTACACGATAAACTCTTATTTTAAAAAAATTTACATAATAAATATATTTTAAATTTATAATCTCAAACTTTACTTACCTGTAGACATCGTTGTCAATATCGAGTAAGTCATACGCCATGGCTTGCAATGTGAGTTCGTGCAACAGAGGTGAGACGCAATCAAATCCCCTATCTAAAATCAATAATTGAGAACGTGCTTTTTCAGGCCCTTCTCCCATTGTTGGTTCATCAGCTTTGTATGCATCTAATTTCTGCTGCACCAATTGAGCGAGTTCAACATTGCGGTCAAAATCACTATAATATATATTAATAACATTAATAATATTGAAAATTATCAAAAATTATATAATTTCAATTTTTAGCAAGCACAGAGAAATAATGAATTAATATATTTAAATCGCATGTAAAAATTGAAATTACCTGCGATATCTAACTGATGGATATTCCCCAAGAGTGGCGCAGAGTGTCGCGATTTGTTCGGCAATCCGCTCCATATTAGCTGATCTTTCTTTGAAGAAAGAAGGATCGTAAAAGCAAGCAAAGGTTTCACGCGAATCCAATGAGAACACCTAAGAAAATGGCAGATTCAGTTTTGCAATATTTTCATATACAATAAAAAAAAATGCAAATCTAATAAGAAAGTTTTACATTTAAAGCAAAATAAAAAAGCATGCCAATCGATAACTTTGAAAGTAATAAAATCGGGTACAAATAATTCGATTCGTGATCACATTACAAACATGTACAACGTATACTTTTGAGTCGGAAGGAAAAATGGTGCGAAGAAAATTTTTCTCAACAGGAAGTTTATCGCCTCCTAGTCTTTTGCTAATCTAAAAGTAAAACCGACCGGAAAAACGTCCGGAAAAAGCGAGAGAAATCTCTAAGCTCGTGAATACTCGAAGATTGAAGGCAAATTTTCGCGCTCTAGAGCTACAGCTAGCGTCTATTATTTTCGTCTGCTTAATCGTCACCTGCGATTCATACGGCAAGAATGCGATGTTGATCTCTTTGAGGGTTTTGATCTTTTTAGCGGCAAGAGACTTGCAGAGTTCATTGAACAGCTCCTCCGGGCATACTGCCATCGAGTGCAAGCATGAATGCATTCTTATTAGTATGTGCTTGTTCATGAATCATGTGAAAGGCACGGGATGGACTGGACAAATCGGATGAAAGGATAACATAATATTAAATATCAATCCGATTGACATCCGGATGACCCGTGCGATTAAATTCACGTGATTAAAGGCCGAGAAGTATAGCCGAGAAGAACATAGAACGCGTGATGAATAATTGTTTTATAATGTGTTATACATGTCCTGCGCGTGTATGTGTCACTGTGTATAGGTGTGTATGCCCATCACCACGAAGGACGAAACGCTCAAACATTTTTCTTTGTATAGTGTTCTTTGCTTTACCTGTTCTTCATACGGTATGAAAGCGATGTTGATCTCTTTTAGTGTCTTTATGTGCTTAGCTACCAGCGAGTGACACAATTCTTTGAACAACTCGTCAGGGCACGCTGCAAAGAGATATACTGAGTATGTCGAATCACGAGAAATTAAAAAAAAAATCGAACCGTTTAATCTTATACGATTGTTCTTCTCAAAACATCGGTCAGTTTATTAGCTTATATTTAATGAGAATGAATGAGATCCGTATTATTACGCTGAATTTGGACGATCGGTTACATTCGCATGAAGACCTGCTGTGGGGATCAGAGTAGGAATAGGTTTAATTCAATAAATTTCAAATAATCATTTTAGCACAAAACATTAAGTAGATGCTTAATTATATAATTATATATTTAAAATATATAAAAATTAAAATTTAAGTATTAAAATTATTTTACAAATACGATTAAAAAAATCTGAGAATTTCAAATTTGAGTAAAAATTAATTTTAGGCTAAATCGAGATAATTTGTACATTAAATTACAATCAATAATCGTATAAATTTATTAGAAAAGCTTTTAAAAAAGGTCTATATTTCTTCTATGAATTTTCTAATTTGATAGATACTCTATAAAATTGCATAAAATTCTACGGAAAAAAAAACATTGGATCGTTTAGATTGAAGGAGGAGAGTACCTCTGACGGAGTATAGGATTAACTTTGACAAGTACCTTCCGTGAAGTATACGTGGGCGACTTTGTAAGTGGTTCTTGTTGGATTACTGAAGTCGTCGATCAATTTTTGCACCGACGAATTACAAGGCGTGATAAGGTAAATAGCCTCCATCGTCGGCAGAGGTTCACGCTTCTTATTGATATCCTCTACCAGGGTGATACCCTGAGCGCTGATATCGTGCATCTTGCAACAGGCGGATACCATCCTCATAGCAAGTTGATCCACCACCAAGATCCGCCATTCTACCCCACCTGTTGGCTTCTTCTTTTGCTTGATCACCTCATTCATAATCTCTGCAAAGGAATTAATTATCAAAAATGATAAATTCTGAAAAAAATTATGAATTTATATTATATTCTTTTTTTCTCCTCCCGTTCGAAGAGAAGTAAAATAATACAATTTACAATACACCTCAAGAACAAAGCAATTAAAGTAATTATTAATATAACCATATTTTTCGCAGATCTATTCTATAGAGAATTTTTATTCGATATTATTATTAGAATAAAAATCCTCTACATAAATAATTAATTATCGAGATATTAGCAGAAATATATAATTCTGACTTTGTCTAGCTATGTTGTAAACCTGTTAAAAAATAACGGTTAAAAATAAATATACATAATTGATAGTAAAAACAAGATTTCTTTCATCTTTATATACATATAAATTCAGAAAATAATTATTAAATATCAAGATTCAGTCCTGATAGAATAAATCTATTTTATATAATTTCTGATATTAAATTACTTCGTCAATCTGTAAATCGTTTTCATATTTAAAATTATATTATATATTATGTATTTAAAGTAATTTAAAAATATTTATATTTTTATTAATATTATGTTTTGCATTAAAGATAAAATACGAAATTTTAATTAATAATTTTTATAAGCGACTTTTTTGCTTATAAAAATTATTTCAACAGAATTGCGGAACACGTGATATTTTTTTGTCTGCAGTATATAATATTTATATCACGCCGTTTGTAACGGAATAGAAATCAATATTTAGTAATTACATTTTCCGCATAGAATATATGTATTGCGTGTTTCTATTTATGACCTAAATAATATAAACTAATATATAACTCGAAAAAAAGAGAAAATATCTTCGTGCAGAAAAATGTTACAATATCGACTTTTGCCTTTGTCAAAATGTTTTAATTAAATAATTTAATTAGACTACGTTTAAAAAATGTTTTGAAAAATCAGAAATAAATTCATGATTTTTCTTTCATTTAGTTTCTTCAAGAAATCGTTAACGAGAAAATTTGAATCAAGGGAAATTAATTGTACTATTAATGAGCAAGTACAATTAACTTGACATGAGTCATTGACAGCGCCGTGATTGATAATTAACAACGTTGACGGACTAAGAAATCCTTTGATGTTCTCTAACATATATTGATCGTTTTACGAGAGATGACGTCACTGCGTGCAGGTACGTATCAGTGAGCTGCAAACCCCGGTTTTTCGATTTTCAGAAAAATCAGCTACAAAACATGCGTAAAAGTCTTTCTTAATTCTTAATTGAGAAAAAAAAACTTCATAATCTTCAACATAAAAAAGCAAAAGAGACTTTTTCGTCAGACTTAAAAGAGTAATAAAAATTTTTCATAAAAATTAAATAATTTTAATTAGTTTCTGAAACAATTGTTAGATAAGGAAATAATTCAATAATATTCTTTCTATATATCTATTAAACAATTTCCTTCAATATAAATTTGTAAGATGATGGAACAAGGACAGAATTTATTTCATTTGATATTAAAGTTGATTCATATTTTTTAAGAAATTAAGTATGACATAAGTATGACATGCAAAATGACATCATAGTTATATATGTTGTATATATTGATATACATATATAATTTCGCAACCATATGGGAAACGCGATAGCGAATAAAACATGGGTTATTTTTGCGACCTTTAAATAAAATGTCTCGGAACTGACGTCATTGAATTGTACTTAAAAGCAAGTTATTTCGAGAAAAATATGTCGTCGAAATCGAATGATTGGAAAAACAACGTACAATGCTTACGCTAAATGAGCGTTTCAAATTCGAATTTTTAATAAGATGAGCACGATGAGAAAGGCACGAAACTAAGATAAATAAAATAAGCTTTTTTAATTCATTCATCAATTGATCTTATAAATAATCAGTGATATGAAAATATCCGCGAAGACAAATGCCCGTACTTTTCACATTTACACTTCGATATTCATTCGAATACATGTCAGGACTAAAATTTGCATACTAGCGGTTGTAAATCGATGATAATTTCGATAAAAAGTTCTGCTATCGAGTGCTGCGAGTCGAACTGATTTCCGTGTTTGGACGCGATAATCAATACGCAACGAGTAACATAAGATATATTCCTTCCATAATTGTGACAAGAATCGAATTCGCCGACGCCGAATTCGCCGGTATTATTTGCGAGAACCAAATCTTCGCGACAAAGATCGGATATTTTCCTCGATTGTGTTTTTGCTCGGCGTTTGACGTTTCTCCGTCGCTCAGCCGTTTCCGATGAAATCATCGAGGGAGTGCGTACGCCCAATCGTGAAATTGATCTTTCGCCGCGATTGCGAGATTGGTAGGCGCGAGATCGATGTAAGCGAGACATCGCGCGAGTCATCCGACGATGTCGTGTAACGATGTTTACAAATAGATCCTAATGCCGCACGAAATTAACGCTTTTTTTACGCTACTCACTTTGACCGACTTGTGCCTTGAGCGCCATTTTGACAGGACTGACTAGCGGCCCGTTCACCAGATGGCGACGTGCACCGTGACACCACGACGCGGCGCAGCGCGGCGGCGATTCTCGCGCTGTAGCGCGAAGTTGGCCGAGTGTCCGCTTCGATCGGCGCCTGCGCGATACGGCCGCGCCTCTGCCTTGTGTATTATTAGCGATCCGTTCCGATTAGCCGCACTTTTTCACGCGCATTTTCTTGCCCTCCCTCTACCTCGCTCTCACCCCATCTTCCTCTTTCTCACGCTTAAGAGAACGTAAGGTATACGTATTTTTTGTTTTGAATACCGTCCGCGTAAAACATCACGGAATCGCCGTTACAAAGCGGGATGGAGTCAAAAAAATTCGGCGATTGTCCAATAACCAAGCGATTTTATGCGGAAGACTTGAGAAATTTACGCTCGTTAAAATCGCGAGAAACGGAAAATGCAGATAAGATTCCAACTTTACGTTACATCGGTAGTTGCGACACTTCTTTTTGCAATATCACGATCTGCTCTAGATCCGAATATCATTCTGTTTCTTGAATTATCAATTCGAGACAGAGCCAGTACACTACTGCTCTTAATATAGACGATTCAGATGTTTCATGGCACGCTTTTTAGATATTCCTTTATTATTTTTGGATCCCTAAAATTTTCACTGAATATCTGTGTACGTATATGTGAATAAACACATATCTATTTAATAATCTAATATTATTTTATAAGGGCGTGAAAATTTCGTTATTGCGTCTTATGCGCAGTCGCGGAATATTACGAATATTAACGCGCGATAATTGATGAATTTAAGAGCCTGTGTTTCTTTCGATTGAGAAAAATTCAACTTCAATAAACTTGTCTTTGCACGTGATATTTATGAAATACGTGTGTTTGCAATTATTAAATACGTGCGAAAAAATTATGTCCAATAAAAATTTAAATATTATCAATTGATCTAGTTCATCGATGAGAAAATTCAAATAAAATTATTTACATCCATCTTTGCCGATGTAGATTAACTTTCTTCGTCTTTTTAACTTGATTTCAGTTTAACTTACTTTCTATTCTTTTTTAGTTTGAAGAATTAGAAAAAGATAAAAAATAAATTAAACCGATATTAATTAAAAATTAATTTACATTGATAGGAAAAATTAATTTACATTGGAATAAACATTAATCATTAGTTTTGCAATAGACATGTCACGTGGTATTATGTCCATTCGAGAAGCATTTTCAATTTATTTAAGTATTATAATTATTTAATGTCACCCAAAGTATCAATTACAATGACTTTGTCTTATTGATTTCTTAAGCAAAAGGACCTAAGTTAGTAGAATAATTAACTTAATTTCAAGATAATGTTTATTATAAGATGATAACATGATAATATTTATTATATATATTTAAAATTATTAGTAATATTTTTGTTGTTATATAGCGGTATGTCATCAAGCACAAACAGAATGATTGCTTGGTTTAAGGCAAATATTTCGTTTATTATACAAAGGAAAGAATAATTTTGCTGGCAAATCTAAAAATCTGGCCAAATACAAATCTGAAAATAATTTTGTCGAATTATTAAAATTATTATGTAGGACGCTTAAACATAGCAATAATATTGCAAAAATTATTGATCTTCGAAGCAAATAACGTACATAATAATTTTCAAAATCCAGCAAAATTATTTTTAGATCTGTATTTGATTAAATTTCTAGATTTATTTTTTTCCAGCAAAATTTTTCCATGTAAGATAATTTTAAATATAAAAACTGACTACCACTAAACTAACTGATTACCACTAAAATTGTAAAATAAGGTATAAAATAGTTATCGCGTATTATTTAAGACGAAAAAATTTGGAGCATTAAACATTGTTCATGCATTTGACTTTTGATATGATTTATTATTATATGATTGATTCTTTGTTTTAATCATTTTTTATCCAATAATTCTTATTCTTTCTTAATTTATTATTAATTCATTTTTTATTCATCATTATTAATTTCATTTTTTATATTGACGGCAGATGATGACTAAGTTAAGACGAAACGTTCCGTCACTTATTATTCGTGCTAATTAAACATTTTATTTATTCGTTTATTTGACCTTTCTTCTACATTTCTCCTATTTGTGAGCTAATACGAGCTGAATTCCTTTAATTATACATATAATACATTATCTTTAAATTACAAGGCAGTCATTCTTTAGGCCGTTAAGACCTTGCTTCGAGCGAGGTCTCTAATCGGTGTGTGTATTCCCATAGCTGATCGCGAATATTGAACCGCGACGCGGAGAGATGACGGACCGCGTCGCGCGGTATCGAGGCATCGGGATCAAAGTGGCCGATTTGTTCGAGTGACACCGGCCGGCGGCGATTACGCGCAACGTGCGCGTGAGAGACATGAAGCGAGCGGGGCAACGAGAGCGGGTCGGTCACCTGACAACGAGAGCGAAAGGAGCGAGAGAGAGAGAGAGAGAGAGAGAGAGAGAGAGAGAGAGAGAGAGAGAGAGAGAGAGAGAGAGAGAGAGAGAGAGACGA